CTGATTTCCTTGTTTCCTTCTGGATTCTCCCCCAGGCCATGTTCGAGCTGGTTACTTCCGAAGCCTCCTATTACAAGAGTCTGAATCTGCTGGTGTCTCACTTCATGGAGAACGAACGTCTGAAAAAGATCTTACACCCGTCGGAGGCACACATCCTCTTCTCCAACGTCCTGGATGTCATGGCTGTCAGCGAGCGGTAAGACAACTGCTGCTGGATTTTTGTCCAGCTGAACAGCATCGCTTTAGCTAACCTCATTTGTAGAGGGACAGAGGAGCTGACTAGGGGCAGTCTGTTACCCACTGTCTTTCCAAATTGCCCGTGGACACATTCATTCCTTTGAACCCCAAGGGCTCCTTCTAGGAACTACCTGGGACAGACAGGTCACAATTAACATGAACGCTGGGTTTCTCATCTAGCTTCCTGATGGACCTCGAGCAGCGGGTGGAGGAGAACATTGTGATCTCGGACGTGTGCGATATTGTCTACCAGCATACAGTTAATCACTTCTCCGTGTACATCACCTACGTCTCCAACCAGACCTACCAGGAGAGAGCTTACAAGCAGCTTCTGTGAGTTCCAGTGCTTGATGCTACGTTGTTTTGCAAAATCATATAGGCCACAGATTTAGCTATAATTTTGATATTTATGAGAAAGGGCTGGGTAGCACAGAAACAGGATTTCCCACTTCATGGGTTTTTCACTGCACCTATAAAAAGAAAAAAAAAAAATTAAAAGGCTTTATAGTAAGGGTGCTGTGATATAGCATGCAAGTAACATACCAAGTAAATTCAGAGCCAGTGGTTCTCAACTGTGGGAAATATTTGTGGTCCACACAGGGGAGGGGACACTTGTGAAATGGATGTATTTTTAAACTGCAAGTAGAGGCAAGAGACTGAAAGGCCAAGAATCTAACACAGCTCTTTGATGACAAGAACAACCATTGCTTTTCCCAAGCTTCTCAGCAAGGCATTTGACCTACCCAAAGTTGAGTATTATTATTTTTTTAGAACAACAAATTTTTCTTTTAAAAAAAAAGGCCATTTTCTTCACATTCTGGTGTTACACAGACAGACATAACCTAGGCCTTAGCATGTAATCTGAGATATTTTTACAGCATTTTTCAAGTTTAGCAAATCTTCTGGTCCAGTAGGAATACTCTTACGCCAGGCTCAAAACAAAGAGTGCCCTACAAGCTTGTCTCTGGGCTGGAGAATTAATTTTTCTTCAGTTACAGTGTCCTGGATTCTTTCAGGACAGCCCATTGCACTTGCAGCACTGTATTTCTTCCCCAGAGCAGCAGCTGGTTCAAGGGAGTGTAACAAGCCCTTTCCTTTCTCTGTGCTCCAGCTTTT